CCTCTAGAAGATGGGTCATTTCTTGATGAAACAGACATAATCTTCCCCCAGTCCGTGCCCAAAGATCCCATCTACGGACCCGTGCTGCCGCTGTCAGCCATCGCTGGGCTAGTAGGTGAAGAGGCAGAAACTTTCAGGGTAATTACCTGGCGCGGCTCCCTGCTTGCCTAACGGGCTGAGGTCCAGGAAGTGAGATCTCATTTGATTGTCACATCCTGACGTGCAGGATACAGGGGATCCTCTTGGTCCTTAATATGGATTAGCCATGGAGACTGGGAGAGACGCAGATTCTGAGTTTTAGGTTTGGATGATGGGGACAATGATGGCACTGCAAACAGAAACAGGGAGCCCAGATGTGATCACAATTATGGACATCCTAAATTTGGGGTGCAGGGAGGACATGGAGGTGGAGGTGCCGGGTGGAAGTCAGCAAAGTGGACCTAGTGTTGGGGAGGAGGTGGTGGCGCTGGAGACACAGATGTCAATGTCCTCTCCTAGACGGGAGGGTGAGAGCACTGAGGGGCATGTGGTGACCAGGGGAGAAGGGAGGAGAGCAAGGGCACACTGACTGCCCAAAGTTGGGAGGAGACAAAGGATCTGAGCAGGCACAGTCGCAGAAGGAGGAGCAAAGCCAGGAGAGAGGAACAGGCTGTAGAAAACGGAGGAAGAAAGTTTCAAGAGGGAGAGTTTGTCCAATGTCACACATTGATCCAACAGATATTTATGAAGCTCCCTCTGTGCAGCAGACACTGTTATAGGCAATGAGGGTTGCATGGCGACCAACCAGGTGTAATCCTCATGGAGTTTGCAGTCAGGGAGACAGAACAACAACAACAAAAGTAAAGAGACACATTAAATCATTGCAAAATGTGATAATTATTATAACTGAATAAATGGTGGGGGCGGGGGGAGGGCAGCAAAGAAGGGATTAGCAGGCACTGGTCAAGGAAGGCCTCTGGGGAGATGACAGGGAAGCTGAGACTTCGTGGTCAGGGAGGCATTACTCATGCCACAAGCAGGGTAGTGTTTTAGGTGGAAGGAGCTATATGTGCAAAGGCCTTGGGGGGAGAAGAGAACTTGGTCTGTGTGAGGAACTGAGTGTGAACGGAGTGTGACCTCCATAGGATAAATGAAGGGGAAGAGAGGTGCAGGTGCGGATCAGGAGGGAGGCAGGGAACAGAGTAGCACATGCATGGCCTTGGGGTTAAGGAAGGAGATTCCTTCCTCCTGAACCTGTGTTATGCTAATGTTTCTGTTAAACTAAGCCAGAGGATAGAGGGAGTGGAGGTTCCCAAATGTTTTTGACCACTGCAAGGAATTAAGCTATCAATGTTAAAGGCAATTCAATGTGAGAATTAGTT